AAATATAGTTAAATATTAAACTGAAGTTATCTTTCTGTTTTTCTTTAAAAGCTTTGAAGTTTAATGACTTTTTTACTCCATAGTTTCTTTTTATTTGCCTTAAAAAAAAATATTTCAATTTTCAAAATTGATTAAATTGTTATTTAACGGTAATTTTGTAAATAAACTTATGCAATTTTTAAATATAAATAATTATGAAATAAATATAAATTTGTGTGAATAATCATAAAAAATGATAAGATATTCTTGAATAAAATTCTTGTTTTTTATTTTTCATATTACAGTAATTTTAAGGATATCTAATATCTATTTTTTAAATATTAGAAATTTAATTAAAATCTTCCATATATATGTTTAAAGACTTTTAATAAAAGTCTCTAAGGAGACTGGAGTCAATTCAATGAAGCAATTCAAAATTGTAAAGATTTTAATTTGCAATGAATTTATTTAGTACCTATTTTCAAAATATGAAGAATAAAACAAAAAGTTTACAAATTGTTTTATTATTACGTCTAAGTATTTATGTAAAATTTCAGCGTAATTTTCTTATTATTAGTTAAAAGTTATTTAAATTTTTTTTCTCTTAATTTTTTTTTATATGTAAAATAATAATTTTTTAATAAACTAATATTTGAATATAATATTTTAGCTGATTATGTGACTGATACTTTTTTTTAGTGATGTCTGATTCATAAATAAAAGGAGATACACGTAGGTTGTGCTTTGACCAGCTGCTGATATAACGGAAAATTCAACGAAATGTATTGCCATCAAGTTTAAAAGTAAGATGTTATCAATAAATGAAGGTTGATCAAACAATTCATAAAAATTTGATAAAAAAAAAGATTTTTTTACCCAAATTCGATAAAAGAAATTTTTATAATATTACTTTATGATATGTTATAAAATAATTTGAAATAAATCATACGTTTTTTTTAAATAAAAATTATTAAATATCATAGACATATATACAAGTATAAAATAACAATTATTATGTCAAATTCAATCGTAGAAGTTGAATGATATAAAAGCGCGAGAAATATACGACAATCAACATACTTAAAAATATATTATGTATACGTTTTATATTTTTTAATATATTTATTTATTATAGAATAGACATAAAAAAATCAGTGCAATCACAAGGAAGCAGATTATCGATTGACTGTAACGGAAAACTGGTCGATCGCGCTCGTCCGACCGCCGCACCAGGGCGTAGCGATGCGGTCCGTATGCAAGTTTCACCGTCGGCACGACGACGCCAGGCGTCGCGACGCTGCCGTTATCGCGCCGACGTGACCAACAACAGCGGCGGCGGCGGCGGCGATGAAGGCGACGGAGGTGGCGATGCAACCAACGACGGCGGCGGCGCACTGCGAGACTGATAGTCGTAATCATGCCACCCTGACCTCACGCACATTCCCGTAAGCACGGTACGTGCGTCGACGTCGCAGGGGAAGATTTTTTTACGTACTCGCGACGAGGAGGTGGTGGACAACGACAACAAAAACGAAGATAACATCGGTGACGGCGGCGACAGCGAGGACGGCACTTCCAACGAGTACGGGCACGAGTGCGAAGCGGGGAAAGGTCGACGTCGCGCAAAGACGGGAGGACCGGCCGGTCGCAGACTTATCGTATACCATTTTGGTACTGTCTCTGGTACCGTCGTTCCTAGCCCGTCGGACGACGTGGTTGGACGGAAATGGGCGCGCGAGAACGGAACAGAAACGCGCACGCGGAGGATCGCCCGGTGGGATCGAACCTGTGTTCGCGCACGTGTCAATAAAAATTTCATTCCCGAGCGAAGGGAGCGAACGCTGCGTAGGTACACGCGGTGGTAGAGCAGGGTTGGTTCCCGTGATTCCCGGAATGACGCCGACGTGTGTTGTTACAGCGAGGGAGGTGTCGTTAATTAGAGAAACGTCATACCACATAACGTGCGCGAACACCGTACAACACCGGTACGATCGAACCGCGGGCGCGTTCGATGATCGAGAGAAAGCGGCTCTCTTGTCACTTTCGTCGAATATCCGCGACGCAAGTGACGCGGTGACGAAAGGATAACATACATGTGCGTGCGGAAGCCGTTGTCCTCGTGACACATATTAGAAATAGGGACGCATTTGCGTGCGCCGCTACGGTGCCGCGTGAAGATATTCGGACGACGCCGAGGAACCGGCGCACGCGACGATAAAGCGCCTGTCTCCTGTCCCGGGTGTACCCCCCCTCTCGCGACCGATAGGTGCGTGCCGAAATATATGGAGATCCTAGGGGTGCATTCGGTTCTGAAAAAAAAAAAAGAAAGAAAGAGACGAGGGTGCGAGGTGACGCCGCCGGCGCTGTACGTCGCACGTGTTACTCGGACCGAACCGGATCGATCGCCCGGAAGTGTGCTCGAATCTAAGGCTTGTGCAATAATATGCGTCTTATTCACCGCGTGCAAATTTTCGCGATCATCGCGAACGAGCGTCAATCGTCGTCAATCGCGATATCTGCGCAAATCGACTCCGTCCGCGTAAGGTGGCTGACTGTTCCACCTTCGCGTTACAACTTGCTTCTCCGTGGGAGTGTTTGGTGATGAAAGTGAATTTATCGCATACGTCGTGGATGTATGTGGTATCATCTATGAGGACGAGTTGATTATTACTAAATTGGTGAGCGAGTGTTCGACGATATTTGAAGGGATGTATTCCGAAGGAAGGCACTGGTGCTTCGTTGAGAGAGGTTTGATTAGAATTTTTGTGTGAATTCGAACATATCGTTATATGTTGCCTGTGTGTTGTTGTTGTTGTTGTTGTTGTTGTTGTGGGACCGTCCTAAGAGGTAATTATCAGTATATAATGATTTTCTGAAAGAGCTCGCGCGTTGCTAGTTTATTATTACTTTTTTTCCCCGTCGACTGGCTCCTTCTGTATTTCTCTTCATGAAATTTCCTGGGAAATTGCGTCTAGGTGAGGAAGGGTGTACGCGAGAAAGGAGGAGAACGTTAAACTTTTAATTGGGGATCCGATTTCTCGCTTGCTCGACGGGAAGCTAATCAAATCTGGAACACGTTCCCGTTTCAAGCTCGTCTGCTCTATTTCGACGGGATTCTTCGACGCGGAAGTCTCACCTCTTGTATCACTATGTATATTTGCGAGACAAAGATTCGCCGGAGAAGAACGGTTTCTTAAATAACGTGTAGGTAGAATTAGAGAACGATCGTCGTCAAGATTTATGTCGTTTGTTAAATCAAGGAAAAGTCCTTTTCCATCGTTCTATGACGCAATTAAATACTACTAGCGTTTACCGTGGTAGAAAATAACTTGGATTTCCTCGCAATTTGGGATCTGATGTTTTCTCTAGCTCACTAGTATATACTTTTGGAACTTAAAATGAAATAGATATATGTTCGATATTTGGCGAAAGAAAGTTCTAGTGTGAAAGTCTAGTTGCAGGAATAAAAAACGGATCTTTAGAGAAAAAGATGTGTAACTGTTTCGACATGTTACATATTTTGTTGTAACAATAATGCTCGTGTTCTTTTTATCTGTCGGCGATGTCGCCATGTGCTGATACCGCAGTAAACAGACAGGTTGAGCCATTTGCTTCGAGATTCGAGACTATCTTCGGTGACACAGTTTTCGTTGCCTTTTCGAATAACAGATTCGCGTAAAGTACAACGATATCCAGATCACAACAGTGTGTCGCTTTCCTCGAGATTACTCGTCGTAATTCTCTCTTTTCGAGGGGTAAAAGGGCTTTCAGAGAAGCTGAGAGAGAGAGAGAGAGAGAGAGAGAGAGAGAGAGAGGAGAGGATTCTTTCTTTCCTCATCGCGCAACCAACAAGCGCAGCTCGGCCACTTTTCGTTACCGTCATTATTAATAGCGGACACATCGATTAATTGATTTATGTTATAAAAAAGAATGGCACGCGTCGATAAATAATGACACGTCCCCCGCCTCCTCCCGGCCGGCCGTTCGTTCGTTTGCCGTCAATAGACCGTAGCGAATCCCGCGGTAACGTCAGACTTATACGGATCATCGACTCTGACTCGCCTGGCTTTTCATCGTGTGCACCCTCCTCTCCGGGCACCCCTCCGAGGCCCCGTGGAGTCTACCTAGTTCTTATCTCACGTTCTCGCGGGGGAAGTAACTGACCGATATCGCGCCGCTACATGCGCTCCATTAAAAATGCAGCCCTACAAGAGGCCTCAGTGAGTCTATAGACACACATTCGCGCGGCCGCGTGCGCCGCGTCGTATCCCTCTTTTTTTCCCCCCTTTTTTCCCCCCGGCCGATCGAACACATCACCGACGCGTTCCGTCCCCGAATTACACTACAGGGACACGGACCCGTGGCTTTTTCGCCACGCTCGCGTTGATGGAATCACCTCGCGTTACCCTCGTTAATCCTATCAATCCCGAACGCACTCGCTCGCACGATTTTACACGCTTACATTTCGTGGAGAAGAGAGATTCTTCCGAGAATCTCGATACTCCGACGAAATCGTGCGTACCCTCGCTCGCCTAAAGGAAGCGCACATCTTCTGAATGGAACACACGGTCTATCATGAATGATCTCGTGTCATTGTTCCCCTCGCGCGTCGACACGGTGTGTCGGTGATAACACCCGGAGACCGAAGACCGGCCGGCGATAGTCGTAGCGGCATCTCGGGGCTACTCTCACCCGCGACCTGCGTTCCACGCGAATCCGCGCGATGATTTTCCGCGGCGGTGCGAGAACTCCAACTATTTATAAATGATCCCGAACTCGGTCGCGTTGGCGAACGACTCGAGTCGACGGAGCTGCCGCCTCGTGCTGCAGCCACAGCCGCGATCGTCTCGTGTGGGGAACAATTCGCTACCCCATGATAAAAATAGAAGCTCCTAGTCAGCTAGCCGAAGAACTCGAGGCTAGAGAGTAGAGCTTGAGGCGCGCGCGGCACCGCTCTAGCGGCCACGCTAGAGCGTAACGGACGGACGGACGGACGGACCGGCGCACCGGCGCAACACCGTGCCTGCGGCCCGTACAGATGCTGACGATGATGCTGATGTCGGTGCCGTTGCCGTTGCTGCCGATGTCGCGCACCGGGCTGGAACCACATCGTCCGCCGCCCGCGCCGTGAAGAAAGCGCGACCGCGCGCGCGCGCGCGCGCGTGCGAGATCCACGGGTGTGCGGGGTGTCCACGTGCGTGTACCTGCCCGTATATACGTGGATGCCTACGTGCAGTTGTGTACGCGCGTGCATATACATGTGTACTGAGAGTTCGGCTTCGCTCTTCGTCTTACTTCCACCTCGCAACCCGTCTCGAGATAGACTCAGTGTCCGCCGAGGCTTCATCCGTCGGTCCAGTCCCGTGGATCTTAGTCATCGACCGTTCCACCGTAGGTAGATCTCCTCGCGAGTGACTCATCAGAGAGAATCCGATCGGGTCTTCGTTATCCGAAGAAAGCGTCAGATTGGAAGAGGGCGAGCTTTCGTGCGAAGTTGTCGAGAAACGGGAAGCTCGAGGGAGAGAAGAGGTGAACGGGACGAAGATAGGGAGAGAGAGAGAGAGAGAGAGAGAGAGAGAGAGAGAGAGCGAGAGAGAGAGAGAGAGAGAGAGCGAGAGAGAGAGAGAGAGAGAGAGCGAGGGGGAGAGAGAGGGAGAGAGAGAGGGAGAGTATGAGTAAGTGAGAGTGTGTGAGAGAGAGGGGGGGGAGAGAGAGAGAGAGAGGCACATTCCGAGCGGATCACGGATGCTTATAGAAACGTTGCGTAACGGCGTCAGGCGGACAGTGAAACCGCAACTCCGACGGACTCTCGTTGTCTAGTTTCAACAATTTTGAAGAGAAACCTGGTAACATCGCGCGGTGGTTTCCGGGTTCTCCCATATACTAAAACGGTATCTTATGGTGAGAACTAGCACCATAGCGCCAGGAGTTCCGGAGTGCCGTGTGAATGGTGCTGAATGCGCGTCAAGTCCCGATTCCGTCGGTCCACGGATCACGGGTGGCTGCGGCGACACGTGTATGTACATGTGCGTGTATGCGAGCGAGTGAGAGGTAGATCGACCAGGATGATAGTACGGTGAGGTGTTCCGAGATGTTTCATTTTACGGTGGTGGTTTTAGAGGGAGGTGCTCGTAGATGAGGATAGGAGAGGAAGGCTGGGAGGTGCCCGAAAAGAAAGTCTCGCACCCGGCATATCGATTTCGATAGCGAAATTGAAGCTTGTCAAGGCTGCGGCTCTCTCGGGCTCTCTCGAGTACTCGGCACCGGAAGAGAGAGAGAGAGAGAGAGAGAGAGAGAGAGAGAGAGAGAGAGAGAACCGTATAACGTTCCGCGTTCGAGATCGAGAGACGTAGATATCCGCGCTCGTCACGTTCGCGCGCTCTCGCACGTTCGGTTCTTCGAAGTTGTACTAAAATTAAATCTGGGGCCCCGGCGCGAGACTCGCTGATTCTTTTCTCACGTCCGGCTTCTCTGACGCGGACTGCATTGCGATGACAGGCACGCCTTGAGGATTCGAGCGCGGTACGATGCGCGTG